TTTGAGCTACTCCCTGGAGAGGAAGAGGGTTTCTGTGGAGGAGACTTATTCTGAATGTCGGAATTTATAGCACAGGTCAATACTGCCTTTTAAAATTTTTTATTTGAAACTATAAACTTTCTTTTAAAAATTTTTAAAAATTGCCTTCAAAGTTGTGTTTTTTTTTTTTTTTTTTTTTACATCTTTCAAGAAGAATCATCTCATCCACCTAGAGTCACACCTGAGTTCTGGACACCGCGCAGTATTCCCCTCTGTGGTCACGCTTGCCTCTGTGGCCTTTGTCCGAGGCTGGGGACTGAGCCCTCCTGCAGGTGTTTGGAGGAATGTGTCTCATTGCCGTGGAGGCAGGTCCCTGAAGAGGAGCTCTGAGCTGTTTCATGTGTCGCAGTGACACCGGTGTCCCTGTGTGTCCCCCATGCACCCTTCTCCCTAAGGGAGGAATTGCCTAGGTCTTTGATCTATGGCTTCGTAGTCACAGCTCAGGGGAACAATCTGCACATGCTGGACTTGAATTCCTTAAGAGATGCAGAGGCCAGCTGAGGCCAAGAGCCAGCCCAGATCTAGGTATGAGAGTTGCTTTGAAGGGACACTCTCCTGCAGATGAGCACGCAATTCACTGCGACTCTTGATGCAGAGGAAGAGGGCACAGGTAGTGACGTGTGCCGCGTGTAGGACGGTGCAGCAGCCACGACAGCAGCTTTCCATGCAGGGCATTCCTTTGGAGGGCCCTTCTGCCAGCCTGGAGGTGGCACTGCGCCTGTGCCCATCAGCCCGTCAGTCCACATCAGTGTGGATGACTGCAAAGGTTCCCCGGGACAGGTGGCACTCTGAGATGGTCTAAGACATGAGACTAACTACTCCCACCTGGGAAGTGGCTCATGTTTTCTCATCTTTTTTTTTTTCTTTAGGAAAACCTTCATCATTCAGTTTTATATGTGGAAAATCCCCAAGATGAAATTGGCTTATTAAAGTTGGAACCCACACAGGGGAAAAATATATAATTTGGGTGCTATTTTACACTGCCATATCTTTTTAAATAGCAAATGGTCTTGAAGAAGGAAAGTGAGTTATTAAAGTTCTCTCCAAATTTCAGTTTTCCTTGCTCTGCTCGTCCCCGTTGAGGATAGTTGAGTGATAGACACAACTTCTCCCTTGAGTGACATCCGAAGTGTTCCACCTTCCACCAATGAAAAGACACCATTCTCAGGAAAGAAATAATATCTTATTTTTAACATCTTGAAAAATGTTTTGTGATTCAGCTCAGTTCTCTTTGATCTTGCTTTCCTTTCAATGGTGCTAGTGTGTGGGATCCAAATGAGGGTAATTTAAAAACCAGCTTCACATGCAGACATGGCTTTGATTATGCAAATTGACTTAAAAGGATTTTCATTTACAGTAATGGAAAAGCTTTTACTGTTTTGGGAAAGGTTTAGCTTTGGGGGAATTATAGGCACCTAATAACCTATAAATTTAATTGGATATTCTTGGGAACCAAAGATGAATTATTATTTACATTTAAATTTCTGTTGTGGGAACCCATTGTAGGCAGGAGGACTTCTCTGGACCCCCTTTTGCAGTGTGTTAACAGAGACTTCAGCTGCTGCTCTCTCCCTTTTCCTCCTGCTGCTGATAACGTTCTTTGTTTTTTTTCTCCTTGCGCTTTCCTTAGCTTGGCCATTGTGTAAGTACTTTATGAATCAATAAACTAACACATATTGGTTGTATTTGATTCTTTTTTAAGCATTGAAAAATGTTAATTTTTTGTGTACAATTACTATCAGTAAAATATTTATAAAATAAACAGCATTAAACAGATGTTACTTGTAGTTTTCATTTACCTAAGTAGAATATTTTTACTATACAGAGGTAGGACACCGAGATTTCCTTGCAGAATTTTATTTCTCAACAGAGAAATCACTGTCACCAAACTGTCACAGTGAAGGCTTATGAGTTTCTGTCTCTCTTCTTAAACCTGCCCCTTTTATGCTCCGAACACCCCCTGTTTCTTTGAAGTGCTTGCCTAGGCGGGTCCCCGTCCCTGTTCACTTCTCCCATTGCTGAG